AATGTTGATTTAATTTAGTTAATAGAAGTAAATTGATTAATAAAATCTATTTATGACATTATTTTGACAGCATTCAAAACTTTTGACAGTATTGTAGCTTTGTAGGTTTCTTGGAGCTTCTTGGAGACATTATATATATATATATATATATATATATATATATATCTCACCATCATCCAATCTGTCTGGAATGACATGAAGAAACAGAAAAGACTGAGACTGACTAAATCCAGAAGAAACATGGCAACATCTCCAGGACGTTTAAACCTACCTACAAAGCTACCTGAACAACTATGTGCAAGTGTACCTAGGACAAAAGCTGCTTTAAACTCAACGGGTGATCACACCAAATGTTGATTTAATTTAGTTAATAGAAGTAAATTGATTAATAAAATCTATTTATGACATTATTTTGACAGCATTCAAAACTTTTGACAGTATTGTAGCTTTGTAGGTTTCTTGGAGCTTCTTGGAGACATTGCCACAGTTCTTCTGGATTTGGTCTGTCTGTTTTTTTTTTGTTTTCTTTCTTTTGTGTTTCTTTTTCTTCATGTAGACAGACTGGATGACGGTGAGATCAGATTTCACCATTGGTGTGTTATCAGACTCCTTATGCATACAAAAATTTCACTGGAATTTTACTAAATTAATTGTAATAAATTCAGCCACCACTAGGGGCCCCTGGTGAGCTTCCTTGTTGTAGTGATGGGACGTTCGGATCATTTTACCGACTCGGACCTTTGAGTCTTGTTCAGCAAAATGAACAAATCTTTTTTCGAGTCATTTAGTTTATTTTAGCAAAAAATAATTAAAATGTTACGTGTTACTTCCCTAACACGTCTACTACTTAAACAAACGTTGATCACACTACATACAATACAAAACTGCTATAAGAAACAGAAAAGATTAATTAATTGTTTACCTGGGTCTTCAGTCTATGATTAGCTCACCACCTCTTATCTGACAAGTCTTCGGGTTTGAGTCATTCGTTCATAACGTGACAGCCCCATAAGCTTAACCAATGCAGTCTGAGCCGGAAAGAGAATTGATTAGTTCATCTCTCGAGTCGTTCGGATCGTTCGTTCTTTTATCACGTGACGTGACAGCGTTGGATAGAGAAATTAATTAATTTACAAGCTTCCTTACAAACGGGTGCATAGTTATTATTATTATTATCATTATTATAATTATTATTTACTCTTAAAGTTACGTGATGCGTTTCTGGTCTCAAATTGTAGCTTTTTACTTCTTACAGTTTATAAATGTGTGAATTTCTGTCATGATGGTTCTTTTCCATAACACTGAATGTTGTAACAAAGGTAATAAAGAGTTGGTTATTATTATTAAGTCTCTTTCCGGCAGACTGCATAGGGCTGTCACGTGATGAACGAACGACTCGAAAAACCCGAAGACTCGAAACAGGTGAACTACTTGACTAATTCCAGTACAGAACTTATAGGATGTTGCGCATGCGCGACTGAATGAATCACTCCCCGAGACGACTCGTTCTTCCCGAGTCACATTAAAGATTCATTCAAAATGAACGAATCGTTCAAGAACGACCCAACACTACCTTATTGCGGGTTAATACCTATGCTGACCCAGGGTGCTTCTTGCAGCCAATCAGCAGTAAGGGGCGTAACTACTCAGGATGTGGAGGAGAGCTCATTCAGTGCACGGGACGGACATTAGCAGAGCTGAGCGACAGAAAGATAGAGATGGCGGATAAAAAACAAAAGAGGAAAACATCTGCGGAACAAAAGAAGGCTTAAGGCAAGAAAGTGGGACCTGTGTAAATATCGGATCAGCTTTCCAGCACTGGAGAGAACTCAAGGAGCGGAAGGCCTGCGATCGGACGCCGAGGTTGCTTTGTTTCTTCTCGATAGCTGAGTAACACCGTGTCTGCGCCGCAACAGCTAAAGTCTGCCTAGTACACTGGACGCGACAAAGCGACCGTTGAAAATCATTTGAAATTTGTGTCAATACATCATGAATGGAACGCAGCAGCAGTTTTGCTTTGTTTCACAGAACTAATCCATTGCGTACGTATGTGTGGGGTGGAGCTATCAAAATAGGGGCCAGACACTTTTGGGGTAAGGGCGTGTTTGTTTTGGTGATTTCAAATGTCAACATTGGCTTCCAGAAATCGCTTACCCCATCTTTAATTGTTTGACAGCACTAATACAGTGGGTACGGAAAGTATTCAGACCCCCTTAAATTTTTCACTCTTTGTTATATTGCAGCCATTTGCTAAAATCATTTAAGTTATTTTTTTTCCCTGATTAATGTAAACACAGCACCCCATATTGACAGAAAAACACAGAATTGTTGACATTTTTGCAGATCGTCAACCAAAATGCACCGTTAGTACTTTGTTGCCCCTCCTATGGTTTTTATGACAGCCTGAATTATTTGGGGCATGGACTCCACTAATGAAAAACAATATTCTTCATCAAGCTGGTTCCAACTTTCTCGAATAGTGGTTGACAGATCAGCTTTGCAAGATGAAGCCTTTTCATAGACCTTTTTTTTTTTTTTTCAATTTCCAAAAATTTTCAGTCAGATTTAGATCCAGACTGTTTGCTGGCCATGTTATTGAGTGGATATCCCTTTCCTGAAGAAAAGCTTTAACACTCTGCTCTGTGGCAAGATGCATTATCATCCTGAAAAAATTACATCGTAATCACCAAACCTTTTTTTTGTGGATGGAATGACAAAAGTGTCCAAACTTTCAAAGCACACTTGTGCATTGACTGTTGAGGTAAGGATGCCCATTTCGCCTGGTCCTTTACCTGACATGCAACCCCATACCGTAAATGAGTTGGGAAATTTGGTTGTTTTGTTCAGGCAGTCATCTTTATACATTTCATTTGAATGGCACCAGACAAAAGTTCCAGCATTATCTCCTTGTCCAATGCAGATTCATGATTAATCACTGAATATCACTTTCATCCAATCATCCACACTCCATGACTGCTTCTCTTTAGCCTGTAACCTTGTTTTCTTCTGTTTAGGTGTTAATGCTGGTTTCCGTTTGGTTTTTCTATATTTAAATCCCATTTCATTCAGCCGGTTTCTTACAGTTCTGTCACACACATTGACTGCTGTTTCCGCCTATTTGTTTTTCATTTGTTTCGTTGTGCATTTTTTATTTTCAAGGCAAATTGCTTTGAGATTTCTATCCTGACGCTTTGAGGTCTTCCTTGGTCTATACTTGCACCAAATTTTTGAAACAGCTAACTGGGAACATCCAACTACTTTTGAAATGCAAATTACAATCGGATTACATATTTTTCTCTCAACATTGAGGGATTCTATATATTTTTTTCCTCTACTTGATCAGGAAAACAATTTTCAGTAAATTAAAATGTTTTAATTTAATTTGTTTGAGGTATGTTTCACATAAAGAAAGTGTTGACTTATCAAACACATTTTTGTGTTATCTGTGATTTGTTTATTTGTTATAAAAATTTGGGTGGACATCTTCTAAGTGCAACCGATGAACACTCAACGGCTCCAGAATACCCATAATGCACTTTCAGGGTAATGCTGAATTAATTTTCGCGTCTCGCCAGAAGATGGCGCCTGCAGCAAATTCATCTAGCCATCCATTTTCCATACCACAAAAGTATTTGCCTAAAACGACAGACCCTACTTCCCAATGTGCATACTATCCACCCTATCTGCCCTAAATAGTATTGAAAATTAATAATATCACATAGATTAGAATGGATAGTATGCACTTTGGAACACAGGCAGAGACACACAAAGCGCCCCCGTGACTTTAACTCACTGATCTGCCTGCGTTCACATGGTGCATGATATGAGACGGAGAGAGGCTGACTACTCAGCATGCATGGGAATATATTAATAGTGTGTTTCCACCGACTGGTCTGAATAACTCGCTGCTGCAGGTTATTTCCTGTTCTGCCTTGTTTTTTTTTTTTTGCCTTGAGTTTTTAATTGATTTTTCAATTGAGAAAAAACATATACTGACAATAATGTTAACTTAATAAGTGCAAGTTTACATTTTATTTGATACCATACCTAATTTCTAAATACACTCAAGTTCAAAATGTTGATAACAATGTTGACTTGTTTTTACAAGAATTTTAGAACGCTGACACCTAAAAGTGTAAAAATTAAATACAGATTACTTATTATTTAAGTTACAAACACTATGGACAGCCTATGTTCAGCCTTATGTAATCTACCTCAACATACAATAGTTTAACAGGAAAGATTTACTGGGGCTTACCATTAATGAACATAAATGCATATGCATTTCAAGCTCAAGCTACTGCTATTGTCAACTAAAGCTATACTGTCAAATGTGCATCTCCAAGAAATAAACATATGTATGTTAATTGTGCATTTCCAAGAAACATAATAATCTTTTGGAGCACAGCATGAGTATGTGAGGTCATGGATATAGAAATACATCAGCCATGTCAATACTAATATTTTACAGACACATAATACTGCAGTAATATCACTATTTGACTTGAGTCAGTCTTTTATCTGTTAGATTTGGTATTTTGTAGCAAACTGTTTTGTCTAAAGCAGAAGTCAAATGGTTTCATGTTAGCAGTAATGGGAAAAAAGCCCTTCAACCACTATTCACACCTCAGAGACACTCTCACAGACATCAAAAACAATCGTCCGGCATGAGATACATTCTCATGCATAAGTTGTTTCGCTACGCAAGAGAACAAACCACCTTTCTGTAACGATTAAAGCAATATTTCACTCCTTTTGTATCTACATTTTGTACGTTTATTAGATTTACACACATGGTCTCTTTAGCATTTAAGAGTTAAACATGAAATGCTCCAATGGGCCATATGATTTCGTTAATTTGTATTACAAGGACATTCTTATTTCAGAGAGCATTTCATTAATCTGTTTTTACGTGTTAAACTTCAAACCCTTCAGGATGATCATCGTTGAAAGTGATGACACAGCAGCTAATCTAGCGCTAGAAAAAGATTGACAACTGATCATATGGCAACAGATGTATACTCCACATGATTTTCCACTTCAGCATTCTGTGAAATAAAATAAAAAATAATCACACCAGAGCTGATAAAAAAAACAAAAAAACTAAGAAGTGTGACCCTCTAAAAATGACCTCTTAGACAGATTACTTTGGTTGTAAACTTGTGACTTTCTGGCTTCAGTGATTATTATGAATTATTGCCAAATGTGATACTACAAATTTGATCTGATATAAGATTTTGCTGTAACAACTCTAAAAAAGATGCAGTCGTTGTGTTATAAAGCAGATTTGACAATAATCGCATGGTGTAAAAAGCACATTTTTGACAGACTGTTGTGCAAGCCATCAAAAAAGATGCATTGATGTGACTTTCATTTCCTGACTGCTTCAGTTTCCTGTAAGACAGTTTTAACACAGTAAGTTTCTGCTAAAATATACAAACATATAGTTCTATTAAATCTTTAAAAAATAACTCAATCGCTTTTTATTGAAACTACATGAACCATTATTGTTGAAATAACTGGACAGTGGATTCCCATCCATGTGTTATAAGAGTAAATGTTTAATTTAACTATAATTAAAGGTGCTATTCAACAAACAGTTAATGTGTATATTAGCTTTGTTTAGTGTTGCTTTGCTTAGTAAGAATTAGCTGTGCTTATTTCAGTAAAACAATATATTTAGTATATGCGATACTGATATAGTAGCTAGCTGACACACAAACCTGGACTTGTTTCTGTGGTATAAACCCGCATTAATTTTCTGGAAATATTTTCTCCTGTTAAATTAAGTTAATTGAATAAACTATTTATTTACATTTTTTAATGTTTTGGGTGTATATCATATTCACTGACTGAAAGTTGAAGCCTGTAGTGGTTATAGTAGGGTTTAGAGATCCCACACTCCTTCAGTCTTTTTCAGTTGCTTTAAAAATATTTGTTTATATATATATATATATATGGAAATATACATAGGCAGTGCAGATATTTTGTGTGTTTCTGGTACTGAATGACAATACATTTTACATAAATATCTGATATGGTGCTTTTGTGTGTGATACAGATACTTAAATGATACAGAGACTTTTCATCAAAAAAAAAAAATCTTACACAATCTTACCCATTTCTGTGCGTTTCTTTTGTGGAATGTTGGATTAGCGTAAGTGATCTGTCTGTTAAGAGTCTGAACTGTTTCAACAACAATAATAGAAGGATTAAAACAGCAAAACACAATCTGAACTAGATGTGTTTCTTTGCAACATTATTAGAGCTGTCAGCTAAAGTAGTTCTAGGCAGGTCGTGACTGCATTACAGTTACATATCTCTTGATCGCCAAAGAGTTTCAGTTATTTCAAAGGCTCTTACAGTCTACAACAGCAAACGAACCAATACTCACAAAGTAATAAACAATATGCCGAAAAGTCAAACTATTTCCATGCATCTTACACAATCTTACCCATTTCTGTGCGTTTCTTTTGTGGAATGTTGGATTAGCGTAAGTGATCTGTCTGTTAAGAGTCTGAACTGTTTCAACAACAATAATAGAAGGATTAAAACAGCAAAACACAATCTGAACTAGATGTGTTTCTTTGCAACATTATTAGAGCTGTCAGCTAAAGTAGTTCTAGGCAGGTCGTGACTGCATTACAGTTACATATCTCTTGATCGCCAAAGAGTTTCAGTTATTTCAAAGGCTCTTACAGTCTACAACAGCAAACGAACCAATACTCACAAAGTAATAAACAATATGCCGAAAAGTCAAACTATTTCCATGCGTGTCCCACTAAATTATGATTTACTCATTAAAAAAAGCTGTCTCACATACTGTGTGGACACACACTCACTCACAAGATGGAAACATACACACGCACACAAACTTTCCACTGCTGCCCTGCAACTGACTTTTTTATAATATATTTAGCAACTGAAAACGGTGACACTTGCCTTCTTTGCCTGTTGTTCTACATTTCCAGCAGATGCAGAAGATCCCAACTGCAGCTATAATCAATAGAGATCCAACAGCAGCAGAAACCAGCACCAAGGGTGGACCCTGATCTATAATGGACAAAATTAAAGTGAATGTGTCTGATCTATAACAAAATCAGAGATCAGCTCAGTAGATAAACATGTATCAATACTGACAAACCTGAACGTGTGTAACAGATTTTGCTGATGTCCAGATGTCTGGTCTGGTTGCTGATGGGATTGTTGAGCACACAGCTGTAGCTGTTTTTCTCCTGATATTCCACCTCCAGAGGTAGAGAGAGACTGATGCTGAGATCAGACACACTGATGCTGGACAATAAACGGTTTCCTTTGTACCAGGAGAGAGTCACATGACCCACATTCACCACTGAACACACCAATGAACAATTCTGCTGTGATGATGATGATGATGATGATGATGATGATGATGATGAATCTCTGGTAATGTTAGGAGTGGGCAGACGAGCTGACAAAAATGAGCAGAAATATTGATTAATATAAACATCAATCTTATTTTTCAGTTCAGTGTGTTTAGAATGAGGGTTTGGTCCATCATCTAAAACCCCAAAATTATTTTACAATTCAATAAATATAAATGAAAACAGATGGTTTCTACTCACCATAGACAGAAACACTGAATGTTTTTGCTGACCGTTTTGCTCCCTTTATTTGTAGTTTATAGTCTCCAGCATGTTGAGTTGTGATGTTTGTGATGGTCAGAGATCCAGTTTGATCGTCCAGCTTCAGTCTGTCTCTGAATCTCCCACTGTGACCATCTAATATGGAGAAAATGTGATTCTCAATGCTGATTTTAGCTATGAGAGAGTTTTCAGCTCCAAATTTCCACAGTATGTCGTCGTCTTCACGTATTTCAGTAACATCCGTGTTTAGTGTGACAGAATCACCTTCCATCACTGACACAAATTCACCAAACACACCTGGAGAACATAATTTTGTCGGTTTACAAATTCTGAAATCAGCTGTAGTTTTTATAATTTACAAGTAAACTGAAGAACAGCAGCAGAGCCACATAATGAAAGGTCAGATATATTAACAAACAGATATGTGTGTGACCCCTCAATCTTCAATTTGTTTTAAAAGTTAAATGTCAATCATTTTCCATAACATTTTATTTCCATGGCCATTCCAGACCTGGGAATTTGAATGTAACATTCTGAACAGAGACTTGTCTTTAAAGTTAGTACGTTTCACAATATTGTATATTCATTTGGTAAAATAACAGCTGATGAAAATAATGTTTTCTTACCTATCGGACTCCACCAGCACAAACAGAACAAAACTAGCATGTGAAACATTTTGTCAGTTGTTCAGTGTCTGATCTAAGAGGACATTCAACCTAAAAACGCTCAACCTGATGTGAATCCTCCCACAACAGAGTTTGACCCTATAGGTTATACATATTTGCATATAATATAATGTTATAGTTCTTCTGGCCTTATTAAAACTTTATCTGTTCTTAATGGGTGAAAACATTCTTTAATTTTATCATTTAACATCCTTTTTGTAAGATAGCTGCCTGAATTTGTTAAATTGGTAGTAGAATTACAAGAATATTGTGTGAATTGTGGATTAACTAAATTTAATGGTAAAATAGTCTAACTAGCGATTTTAAAATGGTTGTGTATATTTATTTCTCAATTTTTGTGTAAGGAAAAAACAGTTTATAAAATTAAAACCATGCACCGTTTTTACTTAAGTTCATCTTCTGAGTCAAACTGAAACCTGCTGTGGTTGGCTTTTTTACAGAAATGTGGTTTGATCTGTTGGGTCTACAAGCATTGTGTGTGTGGGTATTCAGTGCATGTGTGTTTAGTTTATAGGTCAGGGTCCTTCCTGTCCTTCTACTGTGAATTTTTTTCATACGGTAAAAATCAAGTTTTAATGTAGTTTGTATGTCCATGTGGTGTTGTATATGTAATATAAGACAAACCATGCACACATTCATCAGTCACTCAACACAGTTGCAGAGTATTTTCTCCTTGAAATAGCAGTTTACACTAACAGTTTACAACCTCCCCTCTTTCCTATCATCACAAACATGTTCCTATCATGCTCTGTAGCCATTTTAACACGGTGAGTATAAAAATACCTTTAAGAAGGAAGAGGGAAAAAAGCAGGTGAATTACGTATATGACGTATATTATGATGTTATGAAAAACTATACCTTTCTCCACTGACTTTCTAAGATGTTTAAAGCATTTAAAAGAATGCTGATTTGTTTGAAGGTAGCTGCATGACTCTTAATTCGGCAAGGGTTTAGAGTAGGCTGTCACAATCTGTGATGTTTTCGGTTTCGTTTTCAAGGGCTTTTTTTAGAATGTTTTCATCATTTCCTATGTTTGCCTTCTGTTTTCTTCCATTGCCATGGTTATTCATTGTGTCATGGTTTATCACACAGCTGTCCCTCGTTTGATCGTTAGTTCACGTGTATATAATGCCCTCAGTTTTTGTAGTTTGTTTGTCTGCATGTGCATACTGTTATGCTGCCTTTCTCTTGTTTGGATATATTTTGTTGTTGGATTATACTCATTTGTTTAATAAAGACTATGCTGCATTTTAGATCCTTTTCACTTTACCACGTCTTAATAACATTTAAACACTTTAAGGCATAAATAAATTATTTTCTTACTGCAAAAATGAGAGAGAAAAAATATTTTATATACATCTTGTTTTTTTATCAAATATGAGTTTTAAGGGATAAAATTGATTGCAGGGGGTCTTTTTAATCTATATTAAATGTCCACCCATTTTACAAAAAACTGCATCATTATTGATTTGAGCATGTCTGCTAAACACACGTTCGCATAATCCTATGAGAATCAAACTGTAACTTGACAAATAAACGCAACATTTTGAATGAAAACACACAATACAATTAAATGTTAAATATAATGTTCTTTGATCAGGGATCTAAAGTATGTTTCATATTGTTCTATTATTTTATTTAATAACATCATGCTGTTATTTTATTCAATTCTCACTATTTACTTTTATTTTTGCTGTTGATTTTGTTGTGAATATTGAGAAGGTTTTTTTTTTCTCACCATAAAGGTATTCAGTACAGTGATCTTTTCACAGCAACAGCTTTCGGGCACTCGAAAAGCCACACGCTGGTGATGCCTGCTGGTCAGAATGATGTAAATACAGTGAAAACATTCTTTCTTTGTATCAGTTCTTCAATACTGAGCAGAGGTGTAAAGAGTACCTAAAAACCATACTTGAGTAAAAGTACAGATACCTTACAGTGAAAATTACTTAGAGTATATGATTTTAACAGTACTTAAGTATTTTACTTATAGGCTCAAAGATGCACTAGTCAAAGAGACATGCCAGTGAAAAACTGTAACGTTGTGGAGAAGCTGCGGAAAACAGGCAGAGGCAAGGATCTATGTGCTGGTATTTCATAAAATAAAACTGAACACCTCAAAATTACAAAACAAAACAAACAAGCAAAAAAAAACAATATCTTTCAAAAAGGTATCTTCAGTATAATGTATAAATAAAATAATGTTAAGTAAAATTAAAAAGCTGATGCCTTCTTGCAGTGGATGTGTTGGTTTGGGCCTCATTGCCGGCTGCAGTCATGTCCTCATCTCATATATAAAACATATGTGATTCACAAATACTTGCTAAGGAACTCAAATTCAGATAAAGTAGCCTTGTTGACAAGTTTGGGTGAGTAAGGGCAAAACGCACAAGATGCAGTACTTTCAGTGACCTGTAATAGGCAGTATCACGTCTTTTGTAGCAGAAATAAACTGCAGCAGAAAAAGCTAGGTCCATGCAAAATGTAATGTGTAACTGCAACACTCATTTCAAATGTAGTGGAGTAAAGAGTACAGATACTCATTCAGAAATGTAGTGAAGTAAAGAGTAAAAGTTGCTATTATCTTTGATACTCAGTGCAACTACAAAGTACCCGAAAAGATACTCAAGTACAGTAACTAATTACATTTACTCCAATACTTTACACCTCTGATACTGAGTCAAGAGCATGACAGCGCTATATAATATTTTATGTAATATACAGCCTTGTTTATTATTCTAAGATATAATAGGAGCTGTTTGCCCTGTAATAAATATGACTTGATCTGTTGTTGCTGTAGATTCAAGTAGGACAGAAAGAATCCAGCAAGCAATTTTGTGTTTAAAAGACGTCTATTAGACGTCTAAATATAGCCTAGACGTCTAGGCTAAAACGAGGCTAAATTTGGGCTGTCATAGCTCAAGAATAGACTGATCATCAATTATACAGCTAATAAACGAATACATATATACATCTAATAGACAACAAAATGGCAATCCATGCATATAGCTTTTATTAAGAAAAATAATTTTTTTAACAACTTGGACAACTTAAGACAATACAAAATGATAAAAATACAAAATAAATAATGACAAAATAAAATGTTATAAATACAATACACTTAAATATAAATATTATGATAAAAAAAAATCTGGAGTTTTTAACAACTTAAGATAATAAAAATATTTTAAATAACAAGATATTTAAAATTAAAAAATCTAATACAAATCAAGAGCATGTTATCACACTTATCATTAAAACATTACGGATAAATGACAACATAAAAAAAAGATTAACCCTTTTGTTGGTTTACTTTTAACAAATAAAACAACCAACAGTGAACTTAAAGGAAATAATTAATTATTGGTTTTATTTCTTGTTTAAAATGCCTCCCAACTGCATTCCTCAAGTCCAACTCTGTTGCTGCCTTCCTGGTTGGTCATCACAGCATCTGCCAAATAAGAAAGAAAAGAAAAAAAGCACAAGAAAAGCTTGACATCATTTTTTACTTTAATTACACTAATTGTGACCGGGAGTCATTCTCTTTTGCTTGGATGCCAACTAAAAACAAAAACGAGATATATAGTGTATCACCATTCAGTGTGTTAAAAAAAGAGAGAAGCTCTCTGGTAAATGTTGTGTGTTTTATACACATACCTCTAATGACCGAGAAC